GCCAGTGACGGGAAGCCGCCACCGTCTTCACCGCCGGGACGCGACACCGCCACTGGACCAATTCACCGCCCCGGACGCCACTGTCTTCACTGCACCGACAATGGACGGCTCCTGTAACGTCCAGTCCCGACATACATGGCCCCAGCCCACTCTTCCTAGGAGTGGTCCGACCCGCGTAGCAACCCGCTTGAACTTTCGTCCTCGCTTCGTTCAAAACGGTTAACCGAAGGTTACTACTGGCGTCCCCAGCGCCCCGGTATTTAAGTCGATCCAAATAAATTGAGGATTTCCAGTATGGTACTAAACCTGGTTGCACAGTTTTTCGCGATGCTACAGTAACCACCGTGAACAGTGTTCCGAATTTGGTCTGGCCCAATTCGGATGAACAGTACCGCGCTACAGTAACCCGCTTTGGATGCTACAGTAGCCGGCCTTATTCTGCTACAGTAACACCGGCCCATACTGGATTTTTAATTGGGCCCGCTTTAGCCCATTAGGATGTTACAGCTCCAGCTCCTCCGCCAAACCCTCCGATGGTCGGTGACGTCTCACCTCTCACCCTCTCCTTTTTGTGTCTCTAGTTTTACATGTACTAGGATAAACTACATTTTTATTCCGAATAGAACCATTCTACCAGCTAGATCTATGCTCCTAATGATCACGTATTCTATCAGCGTCACGATTCGTTGACACAGACTTTTATGCACAGTGAGAATGGAGTGTTCGAACGCCTGCGTCCTCATTCAAGAATTGAATGATCATGTATTCTATCAGCGTCACGATTCGTTGACACAGACTTTTATGCACAGTGAGAATGGAGTGTTCGAACGCCTGCGTCCTCATTCAAGAATTGAATGCCTTAAAATCCTTGGCTTTGGTGGTGATAGGTTTCCAAGCTGGTTTAACCCAGGAGACCTACCGACTTTAAGAAGCTTTGGGATTTTCGAATGTGGTTCCTTGAGAAGTTTATCAATCCCCTGCTTTGCTGACGGAACACAAGCTGGTTTAATTACACAGCACGCAAGCAGCAACATCAGTCACAGCAATGGCATTGCGTCCTTTGTCTTTACACGCCTAACTGATTTACGTGTTCACGACTGCCAGAAGCTGACGAGCCTTGAGCAGTTCTTGATCCCAGAGACACTGCCATCCATCAAGTCGATAGTGCTTGAGTTCTGTCAGAATCTAAAATCAATACCAGTCCATCGTTTTGCTGAATTTGTTTGCCTACAGGACCTAAAAATCTGTCGATGTAGCAAGCTGGAGTGCCCACGGGAAATGGTTTTGCCCCCCTCACTCCGACGACTCTGTATAGTGGATTGCAATGAGCTGGAGAGGTCATTTCCAGCCTGCCTAGAGAACCTCGCCTCTCTCACCCTCCTGCAGTTGGCTTATTGTAATAGCGTCAAGTGCATCCCATTGAACTCGATCGGCTCAAACATGCTGAAATGCCTGGTTATAAGTCAGTGCCGGGAGTTGTCATCCATCGGAGGATTGCAGGGCCTTGCCTCCATACAGCATGTCCAGCTATCTGGGTGCCCAAAGCTTACCGATGTACAGCTGCCGTTCGAGAAGAAGGAACTGCAGACCAAGGAGGGGAAGGAACTGCTCAAATTTCTTTATACTGGACTGTTCTGGGCTTATTAGCTCTTGATGCTTACCTTTGTCACATATGCCTGTATGGGTTCACTACTTGTAATGTGTCCAGTGTCCATTATTAGGCCATTACGGCAAATTAAGGGCTCTCCAGATGACCGGTCACTTGGCCAATTCTGATGCTCCTCTCTTGTGCTACCAATTGCTAATAAAATCTCCTGCTGACTGCTGTTATCTAGACTAGACAATGATGATTCCTGGCTCTTTTGGTTTGTCGACTTCCAGGGTACGATGGATCTCAAGTTGCAACTAACTGCCAATATGGCAAGGATGGGAACTAATGTCGCTAACCGCAACATATACCTTCAAGATTAATCTCTGTATTCGTTGACGCAAAGTAGTTTTTGTTTCCTTTTCTACTAGGGAAGGCGTGAATTCTATTATCTGTGGGTTGAGTTTTTTTTTTTGACAAACAAAAGAGTGTCCAAGTCAATGTCAAAGGTCCAGAAATTACCGTGTTAATTAGAGAAAACAAAGTTAAAGTACTCCTCTACTTGCTGACAAATTTTACGCTATACTCCCTCCGTCTAGAAAAGAATGTAATTTTAGCACAGTGTCGTGGTTTTGTATCTTAAGTTCGATAAATTATAGATAAAAAGTATCAATATTTATGATATCAAATAAATATCATTAGATTAATTACAAAATGTATTTTTATAATAAATTATTTTGGAACCGTAAATGTGAATAGTATTTACTGAAACTTTGGTTAAACGTGAACTACTTTTGCTGACACGCAACACGAAGTTGCATTCTTTTCTGGACGAAGGGAGTACTTGTTAGTCCAAAGGATCCAAAGAGGGCTTTACACTTATATCTATTTCTCTATTACTAGCACATGCCATTATTGAAAATAGCTTCTTTACATTGGCTATGAGTGATTGAATCTTTGTCTTGAAATAAGGAGATTTAAAATTGCAATTCAAATTATATTTTGATATAAATAAATAATAAAAAATAAACAGGATTCAATACAAGAGGTTAAAAAAATTGAAGTTAAAAAATAATGGCCTCGTTCGCTTGTCTTAAATTTGGCTTGTTTGGCTTATTTTTTCAGCCGGAACAGTGTTTTTCTCTCACAACAATTCAGCCGAAACAGTGTTTTTCAGTCAGTTTCAGCCAAAGTTCAGATCAGCGAACGGGGCCAATACATGATAGCATCAACTACCCAGCTAAGAAATGTGGAGTATGCAGAGCTAATGTTTTTTTTAGTAAAACCCGTGGGGCAAAGCCCCCGGCACCAACTTAAACAAACAGAGCTTACAAAGAAGATGGAGTCAGCAAGAAGCTGATCCGAACCCAGGCAGCAGGCATACCCAGGCACCCCACAACCACACACACTAACGCACACAAGGAAAAGAAGAAGAAACAGGAGAGAAAATCACTGCCTAATCTATCCCTAATAATAAAAAGATAAAATTTCTGATCACTTTAGATTTTCGTCCAGCCCAATCATCTACTTGGTTTCGGCCTTAACTTGGTCGGACTCGTGTTGGGCCTAATTCTATTTGGAGTCACATTTCACTCATACTTTCCTTCTTTCTTTTCCGTCCACACGCAGCGCCGCCGTGCGTGGTTTCGTCTGGCCTCTCCCACCGAGAGAGTGCCCTCGCTTGCCTGCTCGCCGCTGTCACCTCTCCGTGCGCTCAAAAGCAATGCCTCCGCCTAGGACTACCCAAACAATCCGTCCCCCGCCTCTGCGTAGGACTCCCCCAACAATCCGCGCAGGCAACGCAGGCACATGTGGTATGCTACAAAATCAAGACCACCACGGACCGGATTGAGACAAAAATTGAGGCAGCAACGAGGAAACCAGATCAAATAAAAACTAAATCGAGATAACTATGGCCAAAATTGAGACCAAACAACTCGACTGGACACGCCGGCGAGGTCGCCATGCAAACAGGAGGGGATTTGGCCGCGGCGAGGGAATGTCGCAGAGGGTATCGAAGCCGAGGACAGGCATATATTTATTGTCGAGACAAAAATCAAGAGATTCAAGGCCAAATCGAGGCAACCAAATAGGTGAGAGGTGGAGCTGAAAATTGCGGCTTTTCCTCGCTCCATCGTCAGATCTGCTGGCCCAGGGCGACCCCCGAACGTGGCCAGAGGAAGAGCCGGCACCGTTCCTCGACGCGGAGGCCAACCCGAGCGCTGTTGGAGCCGAGCGACGCCACTCGGGGAGGGGCCGGCCGATGGCGGCGCGGCGCTAGGAGCGAGCAGCTGTCGGGGCGGAGCAGATCAGGCGTTGGCGACGCGGAGGTCGGAGGCGAGGCAATGGCAGCGTGGCTTGGGGAGTGGACTGTGACGAGGGCGTCGAGGCCTGGGAGACCGGCGAGGCCCGGCAGTGACAACGCACCATGGACGCGGTTGGAGAATAGAGACGTGTGTGCGGTGGAAGAGGTTGACGAAGAGATGCATGCAGTGGATGCGTGGGTGAGTACTGAGTAGATAAGGTAGAGAGAGGGGGGAAGGGGAGAAGCAAAAAGAAAGAAAGAAAAAATATATAAAGGTATTATAGAGATTCTATCTATTTCACTACATAGAAAAAGCATTTTTTAGGGAAATATACATTTGTTTTGAATCTATATCACTATATGTTGTATTTAGTTTTTTCTTTTTATGAAGATTGTATTTACTGCTGATATTGGAGTTACCGTGATTTGCAACAAACAACACAGTTCTTAATAAAAAAATGCATAATTTGCATGTTGCACAAACATCTCTTATGTCTAATTATTTAATAATTCATATGCACTTATATTCTACTTTATTGTATTTTTTCATATATACGAGGTACTCTCTCATATCTTTGTCTCTCTTTTTTTTTCAAAGGGAGGGTCACGTTGAAAATTGAAATTGGTAGTATTAGATTTACGACGGGTTGACGATTACAACACTATGTTAATAATCTCCCCGTCGTAAATTATAAGTTGATTCATCTTTCTTAGAGAAGAGATTAAAATCATAATTACTTAATTGTCTAGATCACATGAGCCGTACTCATACGATGTGAGTTAGATAGCATAATATGTCCAACCAGTGTAAGGAGTCTTATTCTAAAGCGCATTAGAACAAATAACAAGATATAAATCCTGTTGTAACGTACGGTCATATTGGCTAGTAATGCTAAAACGGTAAAATTTCAGCCAAAATTTTCGTCTGGCCTCTCCCCACTCCGTAACAATCTCCACTCCGAAATCAACCAGATTTCCTCCGAGAAGTAGAATAGCCATTGCAAAAAAAAAAAAGGAAAAAAAAAACAAAACAAATTGTATCTGAATCCAACACAGCACGACGTCCGTCTACTGGAGTCCACAGACCTGCCAAAGTCCAAATCGTTCTCAACACGGAAACCCAACAGTCGGATGCCCAAACGAAGTCATAGGGAAAATCGAATCTACACCCACCAGATGCAAGAGAACCAAATTGAGGACACCCTGCAACAGATCGAGATCAAAACAAGAGCACAGATCTAATCAAACTGAACAAATCCAAACCACCACAGACAACTAGATTGAGACCAAATCGAAACCACCATGGACAACTAGACCAAATTGAATAGAAACATACTGAGTCATAAATCAAGGAATCATGAAGGTGGGCACAAATCAAATATGAGCGGAGACCAAATTACAAATCCATAGATTCTCTAATAGACGAGCACGCGGAGGCGTCGAGCTTGGCCAACTGCTTGATGCTGCGGGAACCTCGTCCGCGTCGGACCGGAGCATGCCTGGCGCCCTGCCGAGCCACCGTCGGGCTGCCGCGTGCGAGCAGCTGCAAGCCTGCCACCGCCGCGTGCGAGCCGTTGTCGGCCGCCCTGCGCATGCCGCCGCTGGGCGCTCTGCACGAGCCACCACTGGGACACCGTGTGCGGGCCATCGCCGAGCACTCCTGGCGTCCCGCGCGAGCCATCGCCTGGCTGCCGCGTGCGAGCAGCTGCCAGCCGCCTGTGCGACCGCCGGGCCTTTATGCTCGCTGATTCGAGAGAGGCTCACATTGGTCAAGAAGCAAAGAGGAACGAGGATGCTTGCCAGCACTTGCGAACTTCAGGGCCTGGCTACCACACAGCAAGCAGATAACAGAGAGGCAAGGTACGAGTTGCAAACCAATCAACCTGTGTAAACTTAGAAACTCCACTGGATATTGATCCAATAAAAGAGGTGAGATCTTTTTACGCTTAAGCCCCCCACCCTTCGTCCTTTTTTTTACGCTTAAGCCCTCTCACCCCATTCATTGGATCATCATCCAGTAGTTCTGATTAGTAGTTTCTAAGTTTGCACATGTTGGTTGATTTGCGCTGATATCTTACTCAGAGAAGCCACGGGAAGGACAAAGGGTTAAGGACAGGGGTCACTGGAACAGGCGATGGACTGAGATCATGGACAATGGGTCCCATATGTAAGAGAGTAAGAAAACAAATGCGTGACTTGTTTGAAAATTTTAAAATATGAGGTGTAGGAGGCTGACACATCAAGTTGTTGCATGCTGCCTTTTTTTTTCTCTTTTATTAAATGATATGAGTTAAATATTGGTCATGTCCAATTGCTGGATACATCATGTTACTATCTAGCTTATATTTTGTCTATATGATCATGTTGCGTGTGTTTAGAAATGTTTATGTGATCAACTAGCCACACAATGGTATTTAAGAATAATATTTATACTCGATCATGACTAGATAGGGGTATTAAACAACTTACAGACAGTCAAATAGACAGCCTGTAGTTTCCAAGAGCTTGCAGACAACCCCCCGTGTGTGAGTTAAATATGCCTTAAGGATAAGGTAGAGAAATAGAGAGGGAAATATTTAGAAAGAAAAGGGAAAAAGAAAAAAATATATATGTAAAAAAGAAGAGGGTATTAATGACATTTTCTCCTTTTCAATAGGCGGAGAAGCTATTTTGCCAAACGTTTTTCAGAAAGACTTCTGCTTCACTATAGAAGTTGCTCCTTCAAAGGAGCAAGAGTCAAAGTTGTTTTCGGTGGAGCCAGAGCCTTGCCAAATAGGCCCATTTGGTGGGAGCGCATGGCCACGGCGCAGATAATGGTGTCGGGACCCGTGGCAGGTTCAAGTTGGGCTCCGGCGCAGATAATGGTGTTGGGCCCGTGGGGGTTTCGAGTTGGGCTCCGGTGCAGATAATGGTGTCGGCCCGCGGGAGTCCCAAGTTAGGCTACGGGCTCCGTCTGGTGTGCACTGTGAAGCAGAGTTGGATAAGTTCACTAAATTGTCTCGAACTCATGAGCCGTACTCACCCAAGATGGATAGCATATGTTCAACCAACTTACTGAAGCGGATTAGAACAAATGACACAAGATAGAAATCCAGTTGCAACGTAAGGGTATATTTGCTAGTAAAAACAAAAGAAAGCCAAAGAGGCAAAGGAGACCAAAAGTCCAAAGAAGAAACAAAAACAGAAAAGACTAAGCACCTAAAACACTACCGAAGGATATTGAGCCAAGAGCAGATAGCCGAATGAAGTCCAGGATTACTTCAGGAGAAAATTAGTTCCTTGGACCTGAAAATGGTTGTGCTTAGTTTTTTTTTTGGCCCTTTTTGATTGAGCTTGCTTATTTGGTCCTAAAACGTATTTCATTTTGATTCTTGGCTCTTCCGTGAGTTTGACAAGGTAATGGTGTTAAAAGCAACGTGAAATTACTTTTTTACCCCTGGCGCCGAATGCAAACACTATAGCAGCCTACAATAAAGTCATACATGCCATTCAGGCTGCCTAGTATCAATAATTTCCTAAAATAAGATACAATATTTTTTCAATCGTGAAATTTATTATATGTATATATATATATATATAAATATATATATATATATATAATTTCCCAAAACATATATAAAAAACTAAGCTTGAAATTATTTTTTATATATAATATGTCCCAATAATTATTATTTTTGGGAAATTATTTTATAAAAAAAATAATTCTATGTTTGAAGAAAATATTGTACCTTATTTTGAAAAATTATTGACTAAAAGCTCTGTATGGTTCTATGTGCGGATTGACGATTTATTTAACACGGCCAGGTGCTCAGGTGTGTGTACATACTTCAATTTGTTCAGGATCCCCTCCGATCGATCGACCTCCAATCTTCCACCATGGCAAACGCCTCTGCCGCCCCATCGATGAAGCCAGTGGCACAGACGTCGTCGAGTTGCCTGACACAAGGCATCACCGCGGCGCACAACTTCGAGGTGATGGCCTTCTCGCTGCTCGAAGGCATGGGAATCGGCAAGTTCGGCTCGAGGAATTTCCGCGTTGGCGGCTACGACTGGAACATCAGGTTCTACCCAGACGGGAGCACGGCGGAGCATAAACACAAAATGTCGGCCTTCACCGTCTTCGGTAAGAATGGCAAAGTGTGGGTGAAGGAAAACGCGGTGCATATACCTTCAAGTCACCTTTAACAGGCTGGGGCTAGCGCACCTTGATAGATAAATCCAGCCCCCTCTTCCGAACGCAGCTGCGCGACAGCAACGACCGCTTCACGGTCAGGTGCGTCCTGACCGTCATCCAAGACCCCCGTGTCGAGGACGTGAGTGCCATCGTCTTCCTGGAGCCCAGCGTGCTGCAGGACCTGGCGAGCATGCTCAGGGACGGGGACGGGGACGGGGACGGCGCGGACGTGACGTTCGTCGTGGGCGGGCGGTCGTTCCCCGGCCATCGGTGCATCCTCGCCGCGAGGTCCGCGGTGTTCAGGGCGGAGCTCTTCGGCCCGATGCAGGAGAAGGCCGCGCGCATGCAGCGTCAGGGTCGACGACATGGAGCCTTCCATCTTCGAGGCGCTGCTTCATTTCGTCTACACGGACACTCTGCCGGATGATGACGACGGCGACGGTGGCGGTGACACCGACGACGACGAGGACAGGAACGTGCCGATGCAGCACCTGCTCGTCGCCGCGGATCTGTATGGGCTGCACAGGCTGAGGCTGATGTGCGAGGTGAGGAACTGAGGATGTGCCGTAGCATCGACGCGGAGACGGTGGCGACTACTCTGGCTTTGGCCGAGCAGCATCGCTGCGTGCAGCTCAAGAACGCTTGTCTTGGATTCATAGCCTCGCGGGAGTGCTTGGTGCTGTCGTGCAGACCAGTGGTTTCTATCATCTTGTCGAGAGGTGCCCTTTGGTTCTGGTTGGAGATTTTGGACAAGCTCTAGAATCTAGTCAAATGGTACTCCTGTTTTTCCAAAAAAAAAAAATGTAAACCAAGCTTCTCGATGAGTCTGATAATTCAAAATTTTAATTATGCCTATAGAAATTAGTAGTATCGCTGTATTAGTATTTGTACCTATTTTTTAAGGAAAAACACTGCTTTTATAAAGCAATGTGAAAGGTACACAAAATTGCTTAAATGAAATGGTTGAAAATACTCAAAACTGTAATTGCTATATTGAGAGATCAAGTTGAGAAGTGCCTTGGTTTCATTCATGTGTGATGAATGATTGATGCAAGAGTTAACACTACACCATGACACACATTTGCCTACACTTATGTGTTGGCAAAATGTAGGTTTTGATGACATATTATGTGTTGGCAATTGTATATCGTTTTAATGTCTAATCATCTGTCGGCAATAAGACTGTAAGACTACAAATTATCTGTCGGCGTTTCTCCGCTGGCGGAAAAAGTGTCGGAAAAAATTAGAAGACTTAGAAAGTGTCGGCATAGCCTATACAGGGCAACTGTGCAAGTGTCGGCCGAGGAGTACCCATGTGTGGGCCGCCAGCAACAAAATCATGGGGCCAAAGTAGGACGCCGAAAACTCTTCCACCCACTCTGGCTCCGCACACCCAAAACAAATAAAAAAATCCCTACACCCGCCGCCCCTACGACGGTGCTCCCAACGTCGCCGCCGCGGCACCCCAATGCCCCCTTGCCAAAGCGCCACCACACACTGAGAGCCCGTGATGGGCGCCACAGATGCCCCCACCCACCCCCGAGCGCCATCAACAACCGCCGTTGCCGGGCGACACCGATGCCCCAGCCCGCCACCGGCGAGCGAGTGCTGCCGCCACTACAGTGGATCTCTCGTGCGGTGTGCATTCAAGTACGTTACATCCCCCATCTCATCCTCCACATCATTCCCTTCCCCTCATCCCCATTCCCCTTTTTGCTAGGGTTTGGGCGCAGGACCGCTGCCGCCGCTCTACGCCTTCGTCGGGCCCTTCACCAGGCTTTCTTCAGGCCCTTCGCCATCGACGAGCACACACCAAGTATGCCCACCGCTTCTCTTCCCTTTGCTGCTGTGCGAAACCAAGCGCCCAAACCCTAAATCAAGCTATTTATATTTGGATCCGATCTAATTACTAGTCTATACATGTCAGTTTTTTTTTGCAAAACCTATGGATCTGTGCGGGTGTATGTGTACACCCATGTCCTTCAGTGTGTCCGCCCTGATTGTGCGCAGATGGATCTGTAATCCTTGCTAGACAAGTATGGAAGTTTTGCTCGATTGTAGGGGTTTTTGCTATTAGGTACTATTTACCGATGAAACAAATCTGACTTGGAATGCACCATGGATGTTTCTGTGTTATTAGGGATTACCTTTTGTATCATGAAAATTCATGCCACATGCAAGTGTTTTCTGTGTCGATGCTTCCTTGCTTTATATTCTTGGTACAGATGCTAATATAATCGATTATGTGTTGCAATCAAGAAGCCCCGCCATGGTGATCATTATGATGATCGTTATGGTGGGAACACACAGCTGTATGTGGGTCGTGTCTCCTCCCGTACAAGGACACAGGACCTTGAAGACCTTTTCGGCAGCTATGGGAGGTTATCCTGGTTATAAATATGAGATGTTTTATGCACTTTCCATGAAACATTTTTTTTGAATTTTGACGAGTCAAGGCTGCTTTTGATCTGTATTCCAATGTTTTCTTTTAGCTCTGTCTAGTTTACAGAACCACTGATGCAACTTAGGCCCTGTTTGATTCCACTAGATTGCAGAGTCTAGTTTCCACAAACTACCTATTGGATAATAGATGGCATTTGGCCTATATGCTTATACCATAACCAAATTCCATGAAAAGGTAGGGAACACTTAAAGCCTGTTTGGATTGCTGGTGGTAGCAGAATGCCTATGAAATTTCCTTGCAAATTATTGTTTCTTTGGCATTGAACCCTTGATTGATTGGATGTAACAATATATTTTTCATGCCTTCCTCACCTGGTTGAAGTGACACCTATTTGGACATGATCCTACATAATACAAGACTTACTGAGTTACAAGGAAATCATGTTCAGCCATGCTACTATTTTATTCTGGAGATTTTCTCAATTGCACATGAATTCGAGGTTTGAGATATCTAATCAATTAAAATGAAATGAAATACTTTTATTCTTTGCTTTCCTCCTGAAATACAGAAAAAAAACATTAGAACCTTTGTTGCCTGTTGTGATTGGCATCCTAGGCTGCTATGTGCTGTCATTCTCAGCATTGTTTCTATTATAATTAGTTCCACACACCCTTCATGTTTTAACTTGGATGGTCGTGTTGAAGGTTTTGAGGGTGCCCTTGTGCAATTGTTAGCTGTTCTCCCAAAGTTGTAACTTTGCTGATCATTTTGGGGAAAAAAAATAAATTACCTGTTTTAATGGAAATTCACAGTCATGCCTAGTTTAGTTCCTTCTGGCCGGTGATTCATTTCTCTACTTGCTTCTTGACGGTGGTACTGTTTCTGGAAACCATTTCCACATAGTGCGTTATGTGGATATGAAGCACGAATTTGCGTTTGTTGTCCAACAGAAGCCGATTGATTGTTGAGTTTGCAAAAGGGTAAGCTACAAGACTACAAGAGCCCTCTATGCTATATAATTTATTCCTTTTCCTGCCTCATGTTTTTCCTTTTCTTGTACCACACTACCGCTGCTACAAGCTAAGCAAGGCTATCTTTTCCTTTCCCAGATTCTTGAAACTCCTAAGGAAGAAATGGTTTCCCTAGAAATTTTCGGGTGAGTTTATTGTCCAAAAGATGCATTAATTATGTCGCTATGTTTTTCACAATCAAAGCAATTTTCATCTTAGTTTTCATTTCAAGTGGAATGTCTAAGTACACTAAGAAATTACTCTGAGCTTGAATACTTAAACTCTCTCATGCAGTTTCCATATTATAAAGATATAATTAAATGCACTTGGTGTGGATACAACAGGGAAAATACCCATCTAAACTATATTGTTGACTGGTCTGGAAGCAATAACATTTGCACTTAGACTTTAGGATATAGCAGTGACTCTAGAAACTTACTTCTTTGATTAGAGCTACATTCCTGGAGAAGAAATTTACTTATATGAAGCTGTTATACCAGTGCCATGTAGCATTGTAGCCACTGTTGTACAGTTCTTGTGGAAAGACAAACTTTGACATCAGTGGCATAACTTGCTTGGCATTTTATGATTTCCAACATTGTCCCACTACCATATTTGTTGGTAGCTGATCTGAAATGTATGCTGTATGGATGTTTGTGTTTCTCTTTCTGCCACAGCTCCACATTGCTTTTTGCATATTTGCTGCCATTGCTCCTCCAGTTGTATTCCGTGGAAAATCATTAACGTAAGCTTCCTTACAGATTGCATTGCACATTTTTTGAGTAAAGAAATTTCATCATCCATCATCCCCTGTATATAATCGCCACAGTATTTGTGTATGCTCACTCGTACATAATACTCCCTCCGTTCCAAATTATAAGTCTCTTTGACTTCTTTGGTTCATCTATTTTGCTATGTATCTATGCATAATATTATATCTAGATGCATAACAAAATGGATGTATCCAAAAAATCAAAGCGACTTATAATTTGGAACGAAGGGAGTACCAATTAGCAGCACCTAGACAGCTTTGCTATTAAGTTTTGAGCTTCATTTCACTCTACTTTGAGGCCCTATTTGGCACAGCTTGTGATTTTACAAAATTTAGTTTTTTGGAATTTTTTTTTGTCAAAAGCAATTTCGTCTTATTCAGTTCATTCTTGGTTTCTGTTTATTGGTAAGCTGCTACAAATCCTGCCACTTGGCATAGCTTCTCCTTAGTCTGTGAAAAAGCTGAGGGTCAAACTGTCCCAACAGCCAAACAGGGCGATGTCTATTATCTGCTTAATCTTTATTTACCTTTCTTAATGCTTACTATTCAGATGGATTATCTGTCTAAGGTTTTTGGTTTGTCTATCTTTCTCTTAAGAGAAATATACTTTGTTTGTCATCAGGGGTATACTGGCTGCAATTGACACCTTTTCTGATCATGCAATAGTTGGGGTGAGTACATCTAGAGACGTTTCTTTAATCCTTTTTCACCTCGTAGCTATAAAAACGAGCAACTGTACTTGTTTTCTTCAAGGAGCTTTATGCTCTTAGTCTGCAAAGGATTTTCATTACAATTTTAGAAGGTAAAAAGTACAAGAATCTGACATGTAAATCATTCTTCCCCTTCATATCTTTTACTTTGTCGGATTTGCCTTGTTTTGCTTGGAGACACTTGTGAGCATATGGGTTCTCCAGGTATGTAGCCTATCCATTGTTCATGTTTGCCATTTTATTATATCCCTTCCCTCCTATGTATTTTCCTTTTATTTCTGAATTTTCATGGTATTAGGAAAATCCTTTATGTTATATCTTGGTACCTGTTGCACATGGGGTACATGGTATATTCACTGGTGACCATTTACAGTGATTTGTATGTGTTCTATTTCTTGTTATGCCCATTTGGGATTAATATAGTTACGGATGGAACAACTGGAAATGTTTAAATTTTAAACACTTATTGCCTTCCAAATATCTTGCTGTTACCTGATATATCTTGCTTTGTTAAAGAAGTTCACACGTGTTGTTACCGTTATCAGTTGTTTTAAACCTCTTTCTGAATCTGGCTTCCTTGTCTTAATAGAATTTCTCCTATTACTATGTCTTTGACAGTTTGTCGGGGGTGCATTATGGAGAAAATAAATGATGAGGAGGTTGACTGTTGCCCAGTATGCGACATTGATCTTGGCTGCGATCCTGAAGAGAAACTCAGGTGAATCAGTTGTTCTAACTTTTGAGTTTCTTCTGTAAAACATAGTTTCTACTTTCTCCTTACCCTGTTCTGGCAATGCCTTCTGCGTTCAATTTTTTTTTACAAGTGCAACCATGAAGATGAAGCATTAGTATGATGTGAAGTCCTATACATCATGCTATTGCTAATGAGTAATAAAACCATGTATCTTGAAAACTTCTCTGACAAACTCGGCCAGTAATGGCGCCAAGATCAAGGGATGGTCAAAGTGCAGAGAAAGGATTACAGAGATTATCATAATGGATAAAACCCATATGTAGTGCTATTTGCCTAGGATATCTGCAATTCAGAGTTTCAGACAAACAATCTCTGTCATAAATATAGCTTGGGTTTTTAGGTTAAACGCATAAAGTACTTGGAGTATAAACATTCACTTTCCTTCTACACTATCGCATATTCGCATATAGCATTTATTGAAGCAGCCTTTAGTAAGTGTCCTATTAATAGTTTGGCTATGACATGATCTATTGTTGACATATCATATCTGATTGAAAATCATTTCTTATGATTATCACTTTAGGGAGGACATAAGCTTGTAATACACCTTTATGGGTCATGTTTTTTTAATTTGACAAAAGTTGGAGAAACCAACCTCTCCTGTGCTCACTGCCTACGTTTTGTACTGTGGTTCTTTTCTGAATGCTTTTTTGCCTCAAGTACCCAGTTTTTTTATTATGTAAACAGAAGTTTGGGCCATAGTGTTGCAGCTTCTTATTTATTTCTAGTGCATCGACTGATCAACTATGAATTGATGCTACCTGACTGTTATCGTTTCCTTGTTTGAAGACCTGACCACAACCTTGAAGATATCAGGAATAAGGTATTTCCAATTAAAAAGATAAATGTTGTTGCTCCAAAGGCTGTAACAACATTGCCAGCAAAGAGAAAACAGAGGTCCCTTTCTTCCTTGGTGCTTGATACTCCAAGCGTAGTAAAGCGGACTGGTTTGACTGGAAAGAGAACCAAAGCTAAAAGGAGGGCAGCAGCTTCTCGTGCAACTTCTCCCGTTAATAATGGAACCATGAAATTACCAACTAAATCTGAAAATCGAGATCAGAAGATTGAGAAAAGCTCTACATCACAATCTACCATTGAAAGATAAAACAACAACAGAGGATGATTCGTAGGTAGACTAATCTATATCTTGGACCTATATGGCTCTATGTACTATGATCATCACTTATATATATATATATATATATATATATATATATATATATATATATATATATATATATATATCAAGTTGGTGTATGTATGGAAGATCTAGTATATTATTTATACAAAAATCAAGTGAATTTGTTCAATGTGATGCCTTCTATATGAGCAAAAGTGGATTTGTCAAATTATTTTAATTGTAATTATATCTATGCAGTTTTACCGACAGTTTTTGTTGGGCAGGGTATGGTTTGTAAAATACCTTAGAAATGGTTTGGCCAACATACAAACTGTCGGCGTAGGTCTTAACTGTCGGCAAAGGGTTAACTGTCGGCAAAGGTTTCAACTGTCGGCGTAGGTAGACCGTTTGCCTACACATAAAGTGTCGGGGATTCTGTTAACTGTCGGCAAAAGTTTCACCGACGGCTTCTAGCGCGACTGTTTCTAAACCGTCGGCAAAACTTTTCGCGGGAGGTTATCTGTAGACAAAGGTGCCCTTTGCCTACAACAGGAAGTGTCGGCAAAAGTATGTTGTGTTATAGTGTGAGAGGTTTAATTTTTTTTTATTTTAGCTCATATTTCATATGTGCTTGTTTATGCTAATGGCTAACCGGAGGTGTCGCATTATGTTGTGTTGTGTTTGTGCAACATGCTTCTTGGTTTATGAATGTGCAGATCTTGGGTGCATCGAGGTGGTCAACAAGGGATGGAGAAGGTCAAGCCAGGAGTCATACGCGATGGAAGAAGGCATTGAAGGGCAGACACAAAGGCTTTGATCGAGGGGCCAAGAGGCCAAGGATGGACCATGGAAAGCTCACATTGGGCACATGAAAGAGTACATGGACGAAGACGGCGTTCACCAAAGTCAAAGTTGTCGTCAAAAGCCAAAGTACTGTTATTACATTATTGAACTACTGGGGCAAATGCACATCACTTCCGGTTGTAGACAACAACAACCGCTAGTGTTCATGTGCCGCTGCTGGCTGTTGGCTACAATTGCCAGTGATACTCATGTTTCATTGTTGATAGTAGACAATAATAAGTAGTAAGCTACTTGTCCACTGTCGTTGCAAAAACCCGTAGTGATGGTCGATTTGAAGCCAATGGTGGTAGCTTGTTGTTTAGTAATCCCTCCATTCCGTTTTATAAGATGTAGTTTAGAATGACACATTCTCATAATTTACAATTTAACTATTCATTTACTTTATATTATATTATTGTTTATGTTTATAAATTTATGATTATTAAATAGTACAATTACTTACAAATCTAACCTACGCTACGAAGTTTGTTTTATAATAGTTTATTTAAAATTGTTAGCTAAATTATTGATCAAAGAGTCTAAAGTTTAAATCTTAATACGTGTGTGCCCCTTCGAAGGCCTTGTTTGGATGTTGTCGAATTCACCTCAATCCACATGTGTTGGGATGGAATTCAGTTCAAGTTTCACTCTAATCCACCCCAATACAAATGTATTGATGCCAATCCGATTACATCCAAAAAAGACCTAAAAACAGAGTAGCGTGTATTCCAGTCAAAAACTTAAACTCGGATTAAAAACTACGCTTGGTTCAAAAGAAATGGAATAGTAATTTTCTCTCACAACAAATCAGCATCAGTATCAGCAACCGTCTTTTTTTAGCCAAATTTAACAGGGCCAAAGCTATTATTAGTTGGCGTAGTCGCGTAGACGTGTCCTGCCTTTTCTAATATGGACAGTATTGCTTTGGCGAGAAAAGGGCGAATCTATGCTTTAACTAAAGATGAGCATTCGGTCGCGGCCACCAAGACGACCTTTGTATGGCATGTACACAGTATGGCCCATTGTGCCACCGGGTCGTGCCGCCTTAAGTCCACTGTGCTACACGACGGCCTGTGCAACGCATCACGCAATATTTTCGAGCTGTGCCGACCCAGAAGAGCACTGAGGCCCAAAAAGCGATGTCGGGCCAGCCCATAGCCTGCTATCTAAAAAACCCCAGGTTCAATTCAGTTTTGAAAGTTATAAAGTCACATCACAAGTTATACAAGTTACAATTACTTCACAGATCACAAGTCTAGTTAACAAACTAACAAGTTACTAGTATACCAGATTCAATCATACTTCACAAATCACTTCACAAGTCACAACTACTTCATAGATCACAATATCACATACTGCACAAATCACAGAAAGATGAAAGCCAAGATGATCAAATTTTGAGTTGTTCGTGCAATGCCGCCTCATTAAAAACCTTTATAGGTAAAACTCACACCTCGTGAGAAACCCTAAAAAGAAAAAAAAGAGTACGGCCAGCTCATTTTGGAATTAAAAGGTTCAAAGATATTATAAACCATAGTCTCAAATGTCTTAATGACTAACACTCTCACTCATTGACTCACACACTCACTCTGTCACTCAGACTCATCAGAACACTCATCCAACATTAGAACCAGCACCAGCTTCCTCATCAAGCCATAGGTTCTTGAAGTAGTCTTCTAACTCCTTGTCCTCCACAGTATGTTGTCCCTTTGTCTTGGCCTAACTCCCAGTCCTTGATGCAGACCAACATCTCCACTGTCTCTGAGCCCAATCATCGTTGCTGCTCCTCAATGATCTTGCCAGTAAGACTAAAGCAAGACTCCGAAGAAGTAGTTGAGACAGGAACTGATATAATATCTTTAGCCAAGGTAGAGAGAAATGGATAGGTTAGTTTATGCTCATGCCACTAATTGAGGATATCAAAGTCATCATCATAGGCCACAACATTGTCACTGTCAAGATAAACAGTGAGCTCAGACAGACCAGTAGCCACAGTGGTAGATGAACCTGCACTTGAACCACCAGAACAAGCTGATCCTCCAAAATTTTTGGCCCATGCCTGCTTCCTCTTACCTGTCAGTCCAGATGGATGTGTGGTTCTAGCTGGCCTAGCTGCACCAAACTTAAATTCATACTTGTCATAAAGTTTATGCAACTAAGATTTAACCTCAGCAAAATAGGAAATGTAACTCATATTGTTACACTGAGCAAGCAAATCAAGAACATTTTGCAGACTTCTCATCTTAGCCCTAGGGTCTAGAACAAATGAAAATGAATATAACAGTGGTATAGACTTCTAGTACTTGAGAAATTTAGCATTCGCTGGCACAACAACAGTAGCTAGATTATTATCATGTTCATAGTCATGCAGATGGCCAGCAATCTCAAGTATGTGATGCAGTATCAAAGGACTAGTGGGGTAATAAACACCAGAAAGTACAACAGTTGAATCATAGAACAACTCAAGGAACTCCAATATCTTTTTAGCAATGTACTAAAGTTGTTCATTCAATAATAGATAGCCATAGTGAGTATTTATGAACACAGATCTATATGGCATAAGATGCTTTAGCATAAGATAGGTTGAGTTCCATCTAACATCCATATCCAAAGCAAAATTTTGAGGCCGCATACCCTTAGCATTGCAGTAGTTTTTGAATTGTGCAATGCACTGGTTAGATGAATTTAGAAAGTTAATTGCAATTCTAAAGACCTCTGCATAAGGTTGAAGCCTTTTCAAATCAGATTTAACAATCAAATTAATTATATGGCAAGCACAGCGCTGATGCACAACATGATATATCTTTTTAGTAGGATCTATTGGATCAACATCAAAACCCAAGTAACCATCAAGCATAGGTGTCAAAGTAAGCATAGCAGTTGTATTAGCAGATGCATTATCAAGGCTAACAAAAAAAACTTTATCAAGCAGGTCAAAATCTCTAAGCACACCAGCAATACATTCAGCAATGTTAATACCATTATGAGACACTTCAATCAGTTTAAAACCTATCACAGATTTCTTAAGTTCCCAATCAGCAGTAATATAGTGAGCAACAACAGTGATGTAATCTTCCTTAGCATTACCAAACCAGATATCAGAAGTCAAACAAACAGAAGACACGACAGGCATAACAACAGTTTTAAGGTGATGTAGTTTTTCATTGTATAGCTTAGATAGGTCTCTAGCTATGGTAAATCTAGAGACTCTTTTATATCTAGGATTGTGAGCACGCTGAATGTAATCATCCCAAGCATCAGTGTCAGCTATTGCTAAAGAAAGATCTAATCTGGCAATCAAACAACATAACTCAGCCCTAGCAACATCTGGTCTATACTCCCAGTTTCTATATGATCCATCAAGGTTTAAAGCAAGCCTACTTTGAACCATATTAGCATGATCAGCCTTCTTGCATGATTTCTGATGCCTAAGCAAATGTCCAGTGCCATGAGCTGAATTAGCAAACAACCTAGCCTTACAAAACTTGCAAATTGCAATAACACGTTGTATACCATCAACTGTCTCATTGGCTTCATCGAAGTCTGCCCATACAGGAGATCGACGCTTACCAGTGGTGGACGATGCTAGAGATGCTACGACGCTAGGGCTAGTGGCCGCGGCCGCCGCTGCAGCAGCACTAGCCGCTGCCCCATCTAGGTCAATCGGAGCAGCATCACTCCTACCGAACAAGGTAGCAGCAGCATCTCCCATGTCATCGACGTCGTCAAGGAGCTGCCCTAACTCGATGAGCTCTTCGTTGATGGTACGAGGGTAGCGGATCCCATCGTCACCATCACCATCATCGCTGGCCATGGCCACCCCACCTCTTCTTCTTCACCTCTCGGCACCGTACCTCAACGGCTCGTGCGGCACCAGCTCGACGCACCAGGCATCGACCGAGGACCTACGAATAGAGAGAGAATAGGGTTAGGGTTAGGGTTAGGGTGAAGTGTGATAGATCTAGGGTTAGGGTTAGGGTTACGCTGAAGACACACCTGCACAAGCCAGAGCCCCGCGCCGGAGAGACGGAGAAGAAGACGGGCGGCGGCAAGGGCACCTCCCAGATAGACGACGACAAACGAGATCGACCGGTGGAGGACAATGAGCGGTTAGAGAGAGGGCGGGAGGAAGAAGAGAGTACGAGAGGAGGAAGACGAGAGGAGATCTGCAAGATCCAGCGGTGCAGGGGTCGCCGGAGATGGGGAAGACGACGAGAAAGGCGATGGCAGTGGCAGGCTGCGGTGAGAGTGGCCGGGGAGAACGAGCCCTGTCCACAACGGGAGGAAGGCAAGACGAGATCTCCAAGATCAGGCGGTGGAGACGTCGTCGGAGATGAGCAGGATGACGGCAGTGGCAGGTGGACCGCGGCGGCGAGACGCGAGGTGAGAAGAGCGAGAGCGGGGGAGGCGAGGTGGGGTGCAGAATGAGTTTAGGGTTTGGGGTGTAAGGGGCGCCGCGGCGGGGGCTTATATAGCCCCCCCCCTACCGGGCTACGCCTGTGCCTGCCGTTACGGACCAGGCCATGCCGTGCCGCCCGACAGGCCGAGGTGGTGGCCCAAGCACAGCCTGTGGACCGGGCCGTGCCTGGCACGAGCCCGGTGGAGGCAGGGCCGGGCCGGGCTTGGGCTGGGCCAAAAAACCGGGCTGCGTGCCGGGCCTTCGTGCCGCGGGCTGCTTGCTCAACTTTAGCTTTAACAAGAACTTCACCGGACCAGTGGAGCATAAAGTAGCAGCAATATCGAAGAACATGGCTAGCACTAGCACGAAACTTCCCCCTCGTTGCAGAGCGAATAAGAGCACGCGCCGTTCACCTTCTCTTTTCTCTCCCGCGACCACTCCATCCTAGCCGGCCGTGCCATCTCGTGCAGCTCCTGTCGCCCACTCGCCGTCTTCTTGGTTCGTGGCAGGCCGTCGGCGTCCGTACCCGATCGGACGGATCGAGACGCCTCTCTCCAGATCCGTTCGTCACCGGCTTCGGGCAGTCGCTGCTGTCAGCCTCCCTCGAGTGCTGCCGTCCGCCGGTCCTTGAGGAGGCTCGACGGCCATGGAGGCACTGCAGTGGATTCTCTCAGCTGGGACCAATTTCTTCGAAGGGATCCAGCTGAGCAACGACCTGGTCCGCCTCCAAGCCACCTTGCCCAAGGCTCGCATGCTCATCTGTCGCAGCGAGTGGGGCATGTTCAAGGACAAGCAGCTCGCGAAGCTTCTCTCGCATCTCAAGGACACCACCTACGATGCAGAGGACCTTCTCCGCCAGCTGGATGATCAAGTGCTGCGGCAAAGGATAGAGGACGCTGATCGGAGCAGGGCAGGTCAACTCTTATCTTCCTCTCTGAATCTTGCCAAAACTTATATCCGTGGTAGCAAAGCAAGGATAAAGGAGACCCAAGAGAAGCTCGACAAGGTCGTGGCTGAGATCGAGGGGATGCTCAATCTTATGGGTCTTATGAGCGTTGAGCCATCGCAGATCATGCCGGAGACGAGTTCAGTTATCAGCGCTCCGGAAGTTGTTGGTCGCGATGGTGAACGAAATGCATTGATTGAGATGCTTGGTGTGATGATTGGGCGTGAGGCCCAACGGGATCAGGTGATCAAACTATTGGGAGTGCCACTCACCAGGGGTAGGAGATCTGCAGGGTCTAATGGGAAGAGAACAACAGCTGGCAGTGGTGTCGCATCTACATCCAGAGCCAAGCAACCAAAAGGAAACAACGGCAGGGCTGGACATGCTGAGATTAACTGCAAAAGCAATGTTTCTGTCATCCCGATTGTTGGCATTGGCGGTGTGGGGAAGACTACCCTGGCTCAGTACATCTACAATGATCCAAGGGTGAAAAACCACTTTGGTGTGATGATATGGGTCTGTGTCTCAGACTTCTTTGACAAGAAAAGGATAACAAAGGAGATCATTGAATCCATCCCTGGGGAGGAATTCAACCCATCCTGCAGTCTAAATGCTCTTCAGATCGAATTGATGGAGCGGCTCAAGATGTGCCCAAAATTCCTTTTGGTGTTAGATGACGTTTGGCCGAACGCTAATGCTGATTGGGAGGCATTTTATGCACCACTGAGGCGTGGACCTGAAGGCAGCATGATCTTAGTGACTACAAGATGTCCAGTGGTTGCTACTCGTGTGACCACAAGCAACTGTGAGCCTTTCCATCTCGAAGGATTGCCTACTGATGTATTTTGGGACTTCTTTAAGAAGTGTGCATTTGGTAGAAATGACCCAGAGTCATATCCTCATTTGCAAGATATTGGTCGGAGTATTTCGACTAGGTTGTGTGGGTCTCCTTTGGCTGCAAAAACACTTGGGCGCTTGTTGAGTATGAGGCTGACAGAACAACACTGGAGGACTATCCAGAAGAGTGAACTGTGGGAGCTACGGCATGAAGAGAACGAGATATTACCAGCCCTTCAACTGAGCTATTTGTATCTCCCAGAAGAGGTAAAGACATGTTTCATGTTTTGCTCCATGTTTCCGAAGGATTATAGCTTTGAAAGAGACAAGATAGTTGACATTTGGGTGGCAGAGGGCTTTGTTGCGCCAGAGGGGAGCATGCGTTCTGAAGATGTGGGGATTTGTTACTTGGATGAAATGAGGAACAGATTTCTTTTTCAAGCTGATCCAAAGTTCCCGAATAAAGCAAGATACGTAATGCATGACCTGATCCATGATATGGCAGTGTCCTTTTCTATGGATGAATGCTTTGTAATGCAAGATTTAAGCAACCGAATGCATAGTACAGTCCGTCACATGTCAATTGAAGTGGATGGTGAATCCTTGACCAGAATGGGAGACATTCAACATTTCAATAAATTGCATTCGCTTAGGTTCATAATCGGATTTGATGTTGAAATTACCTGGTTCAATCAGCTTTCCAACATTCTATATTTGAGCCTAAAAGGTTGCAAACTGGTAAAGCTGCCCGAAAGCATATGTGAGTTGAATAGTCTCCGTTATCTTGACATATCTCATAGCAGTGTACAAGAATTACCCGAGAAACTCTGGTGCCTTTACAGCCTACAAGTTCTTGATGCAAGTCGTTCAAGTCTGAAAACAATCCATCAGGATGTAACAAAGCTAATCAACTTGCGTCAGCTAGCACTTCCAGTGGGTGCCTCTCAAGCCTTATCAAAGGTCAGTGGTCTTGGAAATCTGTCTTGCCTACGAGACTTGAGTGAATTTAGAGTTGCCAAAGAGAATGGTAGGGGAATTGGTGAGCTGAAGTTCATGAATCATCTCAATGGAACGCTCGCTATCAGATCTCTTATTCATGTTGGGAGCGTGCAAGAGGCTGCTGAGGCTAGACTTATTGACAAGCAATACCTCAAGGAACTTGTTCTACAGTGGCGTCAGAAATCTATATTTACTTTGGTGAACAGTGATAATGAAGTGTTGGAACATTTGCGTCCTCATTCAAGAATTGAATGCCTTAAAATCCTTGGCTTTGCGGGTGATACGCTTCCAAGCTGGTTTAAACCAGAAGACTTACCAACTTTAAGAAGCCTGGAGCTTTCCTATTGTGGTTGCTTTCAAAGTTTATCAATCCCCTGCTTGGCTGATAGAACACAAGCTGGTTTAGCGGGGGGTGATGGAACACAACATGCAAGCAGCAGCGGCAGTCACAACAATGGCATTGCCCCCTTTGCCTTTACATGCCTCACTGCTTTACGTGTTTACAGATGCATTGGGCTAACAAATCTCGAGCAATTCTTGATCCCAGAGACACTGCCATCCATCAAGTCGATAGTGCTTGAGCGCTGTTCGCATCTAAAATCAATACCAGTCCATCGTTTTGCTGAATTTGTTTGCCTACAGGACCTGAAAATCTGTCGATGTCGCAGGCTGGAGTGCCCACGGGAAATGGTTTTGCCCACCTCTCTCCGACGACTCTGTATCGTGGCTTGCAATTATGAGCTGGAAAGGTCATTTCCAGCCTGCCTAGAGAACCTCGCCTCTCTCACCCTCCTGCAGTTGGTTTATTGTGATAGCGTCAAGTGCATCCCGTTGAACTCGATCGCCTCAAACATGCTGAAATGCCTGGTTATACGTCTTTGCCTGGAGTTGTCATCCATCGGAGGATTGCAGGGCCTTGCATCCATACAGCACATCCAGCTATCTGACTGCCCAAAGCTTACCGAGGTACAGCTGCCGTTCGAGAAGAAGGAACTGCGGACCAAAGAGGGGAAGGAACTGCTCAAATTTCTTCACTAGATTAGTCGAAGTAGCTCTTGATGCTTACCTTCGTCACCTATGCGTGTATGGGTTCACTGTTCGTGGTCTGCCCAGTGCCCATTAGGCCATTACGGCCAATTAAGGGTGCTGCAAGTGACTGGTCAGTTCTGATGCTCCTCTCGTTTGTTACCAATAGTCCTGCTGACTGCTGTTTTCTAGAATACAGTAATGATTGGTGGCTCTTTTGGCTTGTCAACTCGCAGGGTACGGTGGATCTCAAGTTGCAACTAACCTGCCAATAGGCAGTCATGTGGGATAGTCGTGGTGGTTCGTAGCCATCATGCCTGCGCTTCTCAAGGCTCGGTCTAGCAGCCCTTGCTGTTTACTTGCGCGCTTCTGTCATGTACATACAACCAAGCTCATGTGTGGGTCAAGGCAAATGAGATCGAGTACAAAAGAAGGCGGCAAGCAGTACCGACGGAGGCATCGAACATACTGTGTATGAAACCTCAACAACTACGTTGCTCTCTACCCCAATTCCCCCGATGCCAATACCAGACTTAACTCTTTTCTGATCTCCTCAATCTCGACTTGTATATCTAGATCTAGTATCCGGTACCCGGGAGGCCGAGACACAGCATTCGCATGCACGCACCTGAGCATGCTGGGTGTTCAGAAATCAGTTTTGCTCCTGTGGTCTTTTCCATGGAACCTGCACCACTCTTGTAATTACTACTACTACCGTGCTGCATAGAAACATTTGGTTCTAGCACAATTACATCACAAATTAGCAACCTATGCAAAAGTTATTATAATTGGTGCAGTTTCATAACTTGGTGAACGCTTATCTATTGGCTATACTCGTTCGTCTGTGATTGTTGGAGGCCACACTATTTTTATTTCTTCATTAAAAAATGTATCGGCCTATTTGTATTTTGTGGAGCAGCACTGCTGCAGCGAGTGCGAGTCTTGAGTACAGCGAACTTAGGTTTATTTGATTTCACAAAGATGAACTAATAAAGCTAACCGCAACAGATGCCTTCAAATTCAAGATTAGGATGATTGGGGCCAGCCACAGTTCGTCTTTGTATATTCAAAGATGCAAAGTGTCCACTTGGCATGATAGTTTTTTTTCCCCGGAAGGCATGATATAATCTTCTATTATTGCTCTAGTATTGGCCGATTCTATTGTTTTATTTAGTATTTGGCCAACAAAAAAGAAACATCCACATTCATTCCCAAGGTCTAGAAAATTGCCATGTTGATTAGAGAAAATAAAATTAAAGTGCCCCTCTATTAGCGTATATTATCTATTTATAGCTAGTGTATTGTAAGCCTAATACCCTCTACCTGCTGATAAATTCCACACCACTGTCATTACACAAATTTTAACCTAGAAACACCATTATGCCGATTTCTCTATTACCAACACATGTCATTATAAAATGGCTTCTCAATTTACACTTGCTATAAGTAATTGAATCTTTGTTTCAGAATAAAAGGAAATTGAAAGTTGCAATTCAAATTATCTTTTGATATGGATATATAATAGAAAAAAATAAAAAGAATCAGTATGAGAGTTAACAAAATTAAATAGGAAAGTTCAAAATATAAGACCCGATAGCATCAACCGCTCAACTAAGGAAGGTGTAATATAGAGCTAATGATAAAAATTTTCAGCTTGTCTTTTCAGCGAAGCGAACAAGGCCAATTGTGCAATTGTGTGGGTCGCCAACAATATTTTTCAGCTTATCTTTTCAGCGAAGCGAACAAGGCCAATTGTGCAATTGTGTGGGTCGCCTTGCTAATTTCTAATATACTTTTAATAAAACTGGAATAGTTTAAAATTCCATTTTAATATTCATCGCAAATACATAGAATTTAGTCTCTGTAATCATCGCAGTCATCGTATTGCATAAAAGGGTTATGCAGAACAGCGTATGCTTGCATAAGTCAATGCAATTTAGTGTTGTTTGGTTGAGTTGTATTACTCTTGCATTTGTCTGTGCCTCTGTTTGGTTGGGTGCATTAGGTGTTAGGCTGCATTTAGTTATGCATAGTTCTATGTTTGGTTGTTTGCACTAAATACACCAAGCCGGCAATAGCATTTCATCGAACACCCTAAGCGTGTGATCCTCTCCGCCGCCCACATCAGATATGTCGTCATCTCGTTGAAGAGAAACTCTGGAGATGTCGGACTGACCAACGAGCGTTGGCGCGGGCGTGGCGCCTTCGAGCATGGCAGAGGTGCTAGACTCCAAGCCAGAGGCAATACGCCCGGCCTAGGTGAATGAGTATTCAAGTCATCTTGCTTAGTGCCATGAGATTTTTTTTAAATAATATCTTTTTAATGATTAATTACAAATCTAGCATTTGGATTGTAAGAATTGTAAATATAGTATGCCGTCGGCCTCTGGCTAGCCGACAGGACCCTGTCAGCGGCCCAGTAGCCGACTAGGTACCCGACCTTGCCAGACATGACAGACCAGTGGACCCATATTGGCCCGATAGGCATGTCGGCACCTGGTTAGCCGATTGGAGCTCGCTCTTTCTCTCTCGCTCACCGGCGCGTCGTCGCCCGCCGCTTCTCCGGATCCGGCGGAGGGCTTGCCGCCGCCGCCAGCCCCATGGCCCACGCAGGCCGCCGCCCCCCATAGCGCCGCCGCCGGCCCCCTAGAGGCAAGAACTCAACTTTTTTCTTTTTTAGTTAGTTTAGCTTATTAGTTTAGTTAGGTTTTGTTAGTTTAGTTCGATTTTGTTAGTTTAGTTTATTAGATAGATTTCGTTTTAGGAGTACTTTTAGTTTTAGGGTTAGGTTAACTTTTAGGGTTAGTTATTAGTTTTTTTCTGTTTAGGGTTAGTTAGTTTAGTTATTAGTTTTTCTGTTTTTTTTTCTAGTTTTAGGGTTAGTTTTAGATTAGTTATTAGTTTTGGTTGTAGTTGTAGATTAGGGTTAGTTTTACGGTATAAATTTTAAGGGTACCTCAATTAACTTACACGATATTTTACACGATGCAAAACAGGAATGTCGACCGATTTAGTTCCTTTGAGAATTTACTATGGCAACGGTGAAATCATATATGGAGACTGCAGGGTAGACCTTACCGATTTCCAGTTGTTTGACATATAACTTAATTCGCTACTAGATTACAGCCGAAAACAAGTTTTAGCCTGGGTACACGAGCACTTAGGTGTTCTGCCCACCCAGCACCATTCCAGGATTAGTATGTTGGTGCCTAAAAAACGGGAGAATGGATGGAGGTGGGAGCTGTACAAGGCTAGTAACATGAAGAAGTGGCATTTTCTTGTGTCCAAGGCTTTGGAGCGTCGTTATGCCAACATCATGCTTGTTGAGTTCTTGGACGGTGCCATGCAGGGTGAGAGTAGCAACACAGGTGCAGCAGAGGAGCACTTAGAGTCAGCAATTACTGAGCAGACCTATGTTTGCGATCCTCAAGCGGTTGAGAACACGACAGAGGGTGGACAAGCGGAAGAGTATGGTCCGTCCATGGAAGCTGACCTGGGTGAGGAGGACGACAGAATCGTCGAACAGATGGTGGCTGACGATGCGGAGCACGTCGCCTTCGTGGATGAATTTGCTGGCAGGAGGTTTGACGACGAGACCAACATCCCTGAGGACTGGGTTCACATCGCACCTGATGCCATGACGGTCAATGATGGTCATCATTCTTCATGGGAGTACTCAAGGATTGGGGTCAGACAAGGGCAGATGTTTCATGACAAGGTTCATCTGCAACACGCTATTCGGCGATGGGCTTTTTCTAAAAAGAGGCAGTTTATGGTTGTCATTTCTAACCCCACGACGTGGGAAGTTAAGTGTGTTACCCCGGGTTGTACTTGGCGTGTTCATGGTCATATGCCACGTATCGAGAGCAACTTCATAGCCACTATTGTCGAACCACACACTTGCTTGCTGCATTCTTCGCTGAACAAGCATAGGAACATGACGGTGACTTTCGTTGCAAACAAAATGTACGGTGAGGTTGTTGAAAAAGTTGGCATGTCTCCTTTTCGGATAATGCTTGCTATTCAGAATAGATTTGGATATGAGATTTCCTATGACATGGCTTGGAGAGCTAAACAGTTGGTCTTGGAAAAGAGGTAAGGTACGTACAAGGACTCATATTATCACCATTCAATCGACAAACCCTGGCGCTATAATTGATATTGAAGACTACATAAACGAGAAGGGAGACCGTGTGCTTAAACGAGCTTTTTGGTCTTTCAGTTCCACCATACAGGCCTTCAAGCATTGCCGACCTCTACTAGGTTCTTCACCGAGGTGCACATGCACCTAAGCGTGGTCGTCGTGTAGGTTAAGCGTGTACGACTATATGGTTGTATGCTAGCATGGATGTATGCATGCGAACTAATGTACTCTTGGATTTGTGATACGAACTAATGAACTAATGTGCGCCCTTTTGCAATGGAGGCAACGCTCCAATACAATCCCTCGTCTGCATCGAGGCAAAGGACAATTAAAACGTAAAAGGATATTGTTTAGCCTTTGCATCGAGTATTCTAGCCGGAGATGATTGTATTCGTAAAAAAGTATCACATAGGGTGATGGTTGTGTCTAGAAAAGAAGGAATACAGCATGAAATAGAGTTGTCGGTCGTGTGGGTCTCGACAGTTGTATCGGCAACTGGGCAGCCGACTCCGCTTATACTTTTTTTGTTGCATGTCAGTTTATACTTTGTGCAGACTGCAGATGGCCGTGCAATGCAGCGTGAATCAAAACGTTCACTCAACGTTTCATATATGCAAGCATGGGCCCTCATAAGCGTGTCCTTGCGCGGGTACTCGTCAGGTAGCCCATTTTTGCATACACCACGTGTGTAGAGGCCCGAGGTCATGCTATGCGGCCCACGTAGATTCCTCGGGACCTGTCGGCCTTCCACGGGCTGACTACGGTGGCCTAGATAAAGAGTTATGCCGACAACCATACAGGCCCGTGTGAATTAGAAACCCAAGAGTGCACGCATGCAGGGGCTACGAAATGTTGAAAGTCCATCCCG